CTCCCCTCATTCCCTTCAGTCCCATCCACAGTCTTGTAGCTGAGCTGCCGGCAGATTGAGGACTTCACAAAACCCGTCACCAGTTTGGAGATGTCATCCTTGTCCTCGGAGGAAGCTTTCTTTGCTAGAGAAAGGAGCAGAGACTTTAGAGATCACAGGATGATATGTAGAGGGACTACAAGCCCCAGCATGCCCTCACCACCACCATTCATGTTCCAGGTGCGCAGCCTCACCTTTTGATTTGCCTTTCCCAAAAAGGCTCTTGGCGACTTTGGCGAAGAGGCTCCTGGCGGGGTTTGGGGGGTGCAGGTCCGGGACCATCACACAGCTACTGGGGGGCAGTCTGTCTGGAGTGTAACCCTGAATGAGAGCAGAGAGGTAAGTCTTCCGTCTGATGTACCCCACCTTCTGCCCAACAGCCCCCCTGGGGGGAGGAGGAGGGGCGTTGCACACCCACCTTGGTGAAGAATTCGTGATCCAGGATCTGGTCCAATGTCAGCCGCTCGCTGGGATTGCGCTTCAGGACCCCCATAATGAGCTGCTTGGCAGAGGAGGAGAGGCAGGCGGGCAGCGTGTACTTCACCTGCTTGATACAGCGGTACGTCTCCTTTAAGTCGGAAGTCTCGAAAGGCGGCGTGCCGCAGAGCAACGTGTACCTGGAGGGGGAGGGGCGAGAGTCCCAGATCAGAGATATCTTCAGGAGCTGTGGGATACCCACTACCATCCAACACCCAGGGGCTGAGACCCCCCCCTGCTGCATACCATGAGACCCCCACAGCATCCAACACCCAGGGGCTGAGACCCCCCCCTGCTGCATACCATGAGACCCCCACAGCATCCAACACCCAGGGGCTGAGACCCCCCCCTGCTGCATACCATGAGACCCCCACAGCATCCAACACCCAGGGGCTGAGACCCCCCCCTGCTGCATACCATGAGACCCCCACAGCATCCAACACCCAGGGGCTGAGACCCCCCCCTGCTGCATACCATGAGACCCCCACAGCCCCCCCCCCTGCTGGATACCGTGAGACCCCCACTACATCCAACACCCAGGGGCTGAGACCCCCCCCTGCTGCATACCATGAGACCCCCACTACATCCAACACCCAGGGGCTGAGACCCCCCCCTGCTGCATACCATGAGACCCCC